CCTAGTCATTATTCCCTAAACAGTATGGAATAAGAGTTAATTACATTGCATTGCATTGCCTGGGGTGCTGTGTGCTCTAAGGGCCTGGATTACCGGGCAGTTGGTAGAGTACTTGCCTAATGTACATGAAGCCCTGGGCCGCAACCTCAGCAGTGCATAAAAGTGCTGGCGCATTCCTGTGATCCCAGCACTCAGGAGTGGAGCTGAAGGATCAGGAGTTTAGGGTCAGTCTTCCCTATATAATGTGGCCAACCCAGGCCAGCCACACACGTGTGTCCTGTTCCGTCTGCCCAGTCCTTTGGAACAGGATCCTTCACTGAGCCTAGAGCAAGGCTGGCAGCCAGCAGGCCCCAGTCGTCCTCCCGTCCTCCTTCCCCATCACTGGGATTATAGACCCATGTGACAATGCCCAGCTTTTTACATGGGGGCTGGGGATTTGAACTCATGACTGTGGTTCTCACCCACTGAACCAGCCCTTTAAAAATGTTACCTGTCAGACATTCTGCCATATACCTTTAATCTCTGCACTCAGAAGGCAGAAGCTTGTAGTTCTCTTTTGAGTTCAAGGCCACCCTGTTCTACATAGTGAGAAGTTGTCTTAAAAAAAAAAAAAGCCATCTGCAGGATGTGGTGTTCCACGCTTGTAATCTCAGCACTCAGGGAGGCAGAGGCAAGTGGATCTCTGAGTTCAGGCCAGCCTGGTCTACAAAGTGAGTTCAGGACAGCCAGGGCTACACAGAAAAACCCTGTCTCCAAAAGCCAAAACAAACAAACAAACAAAAAAACAAAAAACAAAAGGTGGGGGAGGGGGACCTGGAGAGATGGCTCAGCAGTTAAGAGCACTGTCTGCTCTTTCAGAGGTCCTGAGTCCAATTCCCAGCAACCATCTGTACTGCAATCTGATGCCCTCTTCTGGCATGCAGATAGATGTATATGCAGATAGAGCACTGACATACAATAAATAAATAAATCTTAAAAAAAAAAAAAAAAGCCATCTAGGATTTTTGACGTTTGATTTTGAAACAGTCTTATGTGGCTCAGGCTGTACTCCCTGTGTTGCCAAGGATAGGCCCCAACTGTCGATCTTCCTGTCTCTACCTTCCAAGTGCTGGAATCATAGGTTGTTTGAGCACCAAAATTTTAGAGAAGACAAACCATAGCACTTCCTATCCAGAGCTAGGCACAGCTGGCCGTGGCCACTGGCAGAGCCCTGTGGATGCAAGGTGAGGGTCCACCCTAGGCACTTAATTCCTCCTTCCTACAGGTGCTGAAGTCCACAGGGGATGTGGCTGCAGGGCGGGCCCTGTATGAGGGGTATGCGGCGGTCACTGACGCACCCCCAGAATGCTTCCTCACCCTCAGGGACACAGTGCTGCTGCGCAAGGAATCCCGGAAGCTTATCGTTCAGCCCAACACTCGCCTCGAAGGTAACGGACATCACACGGTGTTCTTCCCGACAGACCCCAGGCCCAGAACCTTGGTATTTTCCATCTCACACAGAGATGCTGTCAGACAGCAGCAGGAGGTTTCAGGAGGGCCAACAAAGTAGGAGCTTGTGGAGGCCAGCCAGGACCTGGAGGCTCCTGGCTGTGGAAAGACCTAGCAGGAGGTAAAGCCAGGCAATGAGCTGGGACTGCACAGTCCAAGTAGGACCTAGGAGAATTTGAATCAGCAACGTTCAGGATGGTCCCCTTTCTCAAGTAACATTTCCATTTCCAGAATCCCTGGCCCTGCCTGCATGGGGCTGGCACCTTGTGTGCCCTCTTGTCTCTCCAATGCACCACGTCCATTCCACTCGATAGCCTCTGTACAGGCTGTTCCCTCTGCTTGGCATGGTTCTTCTGGTTGGTCAGGTCCCTGTTAAGTGGCACCTTCCTGAGACCTGCGATCTCCGGCCCCTCGACACAAAGTAACCCCTTCAGTCTTTTATCTCTCAGTTTCATTTTCTTTGTGCTTTGATACATCCAGTGCAGGGAGGCTACTGAGGGAGGGAGCAGTGGGTGGGACCAAGGCCATTCCCCGAAGCAGTTCAGAGCCTGTTAGGAAAGAAAACATGGAGGTACTCATCACCTAAGGGAAACGTGAATGAACGTTTAAAGGAAAGTAACAGTGCTCTGATAAAGATCCCATCTGTAGCTTTAGAGCATCCAGGAAGTGGTGCTTAAAGCAGACCTGAGAAACAGGTTGGGTCTTCAAAGGTAGTGGTGAGTTAGGGTGTGGCCCAGAATGAAACAGGCCATGGGTTCTACCCCCATGGGGTTCACTTTGGGATCGGTGGTAGTGATGGTGGCGATGGAAGACTTGCAGGTCTCAGATACGGGGTGAAATGTTTTCACAGTAGGCCAGGATTATAACTCACTGACAGCATGCTTTGCACTGCCATCGAAGGCCCTAGGTTCCATCCCCAGTACTGGGAAGAAAAAACAAGGTTACTATCAGCTCACCAGTTTTCATCTGGGAACTGAAAGGCACGTGCACAAATGGTCTTCACATTTGCCTCAGCCCCTACAGCTAGGTAGGGCCAGAGTCAGGACCTGAGCTTGGGCCATGCTAGCCTGAACGTAACCATGTTAGCTCTCCTAGCTGCTGTGTACCTCTCAGTGCCAACACACGGCACAGCGTGCAAAGGTAGAGCGGCTGAAGAGCAGTAGAGGAGGTGCTTCCCACCAAAGTTCAGGGACCCTGAGACAGGCCCGTTTCAGAGCAGGATGCCCAGAGGCGGTGTCTTAACCCTGCTGCTCAGGGAGCCTGCACTCACTGAGCACCTCCCGATGTTCTAGCCTATGCAGTCACCCTAACACCTTGAGAGGAAGGGTGCTGTGCTCTCTCCCCACTTTACCCAAGGCACTGAGGCTTACAGCAACTGGGAGACTTGCCCACAGTCTAGACAAATGAAGCGGTTGCTGGACGGTGAGTTTCAAGAGGCTGTGGACTGTGTGTGTTTCGTCTAATATGGCACTTGAAAATTAATTTTAGATTATTTTACGGGTGTTTTGCCTGCACGTATGTATATGCACCATGCACCGTGTGCATGCAGGGCCCTAGGAGGCCATGAGTCCCTGGATCCCCAGGGACTGGAATTACAGATGGTTGTGAGCCGCTGTGTGGATGCCAGAGGCCAAGCCAAGAGCAGCCTGGGTCCTCAGCAAGAGCAAGCACTCTTAACCCCTGATCTGCCTGTCTCTCCAGCCCCTGACATAACACATCAGTCATTTTTGTTAGTGAGTGTCGAGGTTATATTGGTTTTGTTGAGCCCAGGATTTTCTAGGCTGGCCTTAAAATTAATGACCCTCCTTCCTCAGCCCCTTGAGTGCTGGGATTACAGTGTGTGCTACCATGCCAGATTGGTTTAAATCTTGGCTTAAGGGGAAAAAAGAAAGCAGGTAGCAGTTCATTTAAGCCTCCTCCCTGTAACTCTGCCTTTCTTGCGGGGTTATTCTAATGTCTAAATTAGATAACTAGCTTGAACATCGAACAGTGTGTGCCATAGAGCTCAGTCAGAACTCGCTGCTCCTATAACTGTACTCCTCTAGTCACATCTTTCTGTGCTGCTCTTCTCTCTCCATCTCCTCCCAGGCTCGGAAGTACAGCTTATAGAGTATGAGGCCTCAGCCGCTGGTCTCATCCGATCCTTCTGTGAGCGTTTTCCCGAGGATGGGCCTGAGCTGGACGAGGTCCTTATCCAACTGGCCACAGCAGATGCCCGATTCTGGAGAGACCAGATCAAGGAGGTCCCATCTGGCCAGGCCTGAGAAGAGCTGTGTGGTCTCTCCCCACTCCATCAAACCAGGGCCATTGGTGGCTCTGAGTTGTGTGTGTGATTAGGAGTTGGGGGAGCAGCAGGAGCTTGGACTTTGGTGCTACCTCAGCTGAGGGTGGTGATGCTAACCCCTTCCATTTGTCAGCACTTTCCAGTTTACCAAGTACTTCCTCAGTTCCTCGATCTGCACTGCCAACTGTTGAGGGAGCTCCACGGGGTGCCTCGTCCAGTTCCCCACAGGAAAATGGCAGTTCTGAGAAGTGACTAGTCTTTATCCAGCAGGTGGCATGTGACAGAGCCAGGGCTCAAAGCATTCTCACCAGATCCAGTGCTCTTCATGTATTACTTTTATAGCCAGAAAAATAAATACCACAAACCACCACCGTCTTTGCAGTGTGTGTGATTCTTTGTCTTTGAGTTCAAAGCTTGGGGAATGCACAGTACCTCACTTTTCAGGTGCACTGTAGGATTTTGATATCATTTCCAAAGGAGGGCACAAAGTCACAGTGTGAGTTCTGTAGCTCTCTCTCTCTCTCTCTCTCTCTCTCTCTCTCTCTTTTTTTTTTTTTTTTAAGATTTACTTTTAAATGTATGTATGTGCTTCTCCACATGTGTGCTGTGACAGCAGAGGCCAGAAGCCGGCATCAGATTCCCTGGAACTAGGGTTACAGAATTGTGAGCAGCCATGTGGGTGCGGAGAAGTGATCCAGAGCCCTCTGCAACAGCAGCAAATGTTCTTGTACTTTAAAATATTTCAGGAGCTTAAGAACTAGAACGCACTACCTTGAGACCCCACCCTTTAAATTGTTTCTCAGCTTGGTCCTCTACAGTAAAGCAGAAAGGACAGGACCCTTTTTAACTGGGCTAACCATGGAAATTGAGGCAGTTCAGTTTGGTGGTCTTAACCCCTAAAAAGGGCTCCTCTCCAGGCTTTGAATTCAAGGCCCTGGTTTGTTTTTTTGTTTTTGTTTTTACAATTTATTCACTTTGTATCCCAGCCTGTAGCCTCCTCCTTCGTCCCCTCCCTCTTCTCCCATGCCCCTCCCCTAGTCCACTGATAGGGGAGATCCTCCTCCCCTACCATCTGACCCTAGCCAATCAGGTCTCATCAGGACTGTCTGCATTGTCTTATGGCACCTATTTTTGATGCAGAAACTGTAAATCAACTTTGCACAAGGCAAGGAAACGCCCTTATCTTGTTTGGCCCGAGCCCGGACAATTTTATTCCGGAACGTTTGTTTCTGGGCTTTCGGATGTCCGGATTCTATTGGGCGTTGCGCTACGACTGAGCTGGTTGCCAAGGCGACGCCAGGGAAGATGGCTGCGACATCTTCATCGGATTCTGACAGCGGGCGAGCTGAGAGGTGAAGTCTCCCGTCCCCACTGCTTCCTTTTTTCCTCAGATGAATAGATGGTGCCGGGGTGTCGGGTGCTGGGCTCTTGCTTTCTGGCAACACTAGAAGTTCCGGAAGGGCCCCGTAGAAATCAGACACGGAAGTTGACGGCCAAGAAGTGTCTATGTACGTGATTGGCTGGTCACTCCTGCCGCCAGAGGAGCCCAGATTCAGACTTACTGTATTAGTCTTTCGGAGCTCCATGCTCTCAGTCTTAGGCATCATCTCCTTCACCGCTTTCTTCCTTTCCAGTGGGACTCTCTTTCCAGCTAACTTCTCCTCCTTTCCCTTGCAGCCACGAAGCCAATTCGAAATGGCTGGACGCACACTACGACCCCATGGCCAACATCCACACTTTCTCCTCCTGCCTAGGTGAGTCTCCAGACCCAGGAAAAGCAGGATTCTAGGAGGATGGGAGTATTAGGTAATGGTTCCATGGAGAAACCTTTGGGATTCTGAGACTCACCTATGACCCTCTTGTGTTTTCTAGCTCTGGCAGATTTGCATGGCGACGGGGAGTACAAGGTAGGCACTCAGAAAGTTGAGTAGGGACAGCTCAGAAGCGAGGTTTGCAAAGGGCTCAACATACTCTGAAACTCACTAGTACTGAAAAGACACATTTAATTGGAACGTCTTTCTTTCTCTTAATGGTTTATTTATTTTCATTTTATGTGCATTGGTGTTTTGCTTGCATATCTGCTTGTGTGAGAGCGTCAAATCCCTTAGAACTGGTGTTACAGACAGTTGAGAGCTGCCCTGTGGTTGCTGGGAATTAAACCAGAGTCCTCTGGAAGTGCAGCCAGTGCTCCTAACTAACCACTTAGCCATCTCTCCAACCCCAGAATTTCTTTTTAATTTGGAAAATAAATATTAATTTTGTAACATGGACTGCAGAAATAAAACAGCAAAATGTTGTGGTTTCGTAATACCAAGACATATGATTCTCTAAAAATTTGGGAGCCGAAAGTGGTGGTGTATGCCTTTAATCTCAGCACTTGGACAACAGAAACAGGCAGATCTATGAGTGTGAGGCTGGCCTGTCAAGTTCAAGGCCAGCCAGGGCTACATTGTGAGACCCTGCATCAAAACAACAGCAAAAAACCCTAACAAACAAAACAATCCCCACCCCAAAACAAAGTTAGCAACAAAATCAAAATTATGTTTGGGATTATTTATTTATTTATTTGTTTCTCTATTTATTTATTGTGGGAGGATACATGAAGCATGAGAGTCAGGTGACAACTTCTTTTTAGTTTATTTTTTAATTAATTTTTATTTTTTTATATTAATCACAGGTTATTTACTTTGTATTCCAGCCGTAGCCCCCTCTCTCATTCCCTCCCAACTCCACCCTTAAATTTACTTATTTAGGTATTTTATATATATGGGTATGTTGTTTGCTCCAGAAGACAACATCAGACAGTTGTGAACTGCCATGTGAGTGCTGGGAATTGAACTCAGGACCTTCAGAGGAGCAGCAAGCGCTCTTAATCACTGAGCCATCTCTCCAGCCCCAGCTGACAACTTTTGAGAGTCAGTTCTCTCCCATGTAGATTCCAGAGACTGAGCTCAGGAGGCCACCAGGCATGGTGGTGAGCACCTTAACCACTGCAGACCCCAATTCCCTATCTAATTGTAATTGCTTAATTTTTTAGTTTATCATACAAAATAACAGGCTTAAAATGTGATGTGATTCAGAAAGCTGTGCGCCACCCCCCGCCCTTTTTTTTAAAGACAAATTCTCCATGTAGTAATCCTGGCTGTTCTGGAACTTACTGTGTAGTCCAGGGTTCCAGGCTAGCCTCAAACTCACCTGTCTCTGCCTTCCAAGTGCCGGGATTAGAGGTGTAGGCCAATACCCCCAGTATCTGAGTGTAATCTTTGAGTAGAGACCATGCTAATAATCTGTATCCTTCAAATTTTAATGTATATGTTGCTGAGGTGAGCATACAACCTTTTAGTTTAAATATTGTGACATGATTCTTTGGTGCAAGAGATAATGCCGTGATTGGCAATGGGCATTAGAGTCTCATTGGGCAAAGGTGCTTGCTGCTAAGCCTGATGACTTGAGTTCAATCCCTTGGATGATGCATGGAGTAAAAGGAGAGAACCAACTCCCTAAAGTTGTCCTCTGATCTCCCTGCCACGTGTGCTGTGGCATAGATGTTCCCCCCACACATATAAATATATGTAACTTAGAATATGAAGGGAAACAAAACTCAGGGAAGTGAGGTTTTTCTGTTTCTCAAGAAGACAGAGTTACAAGAGGCTGGTGATTATAGAAGCTGATAATGTTATTAAGGGGGTCTATAATGCTTTTCTTTATAATTGGAATTTTTCCTTAGTAAAAAAATTGATTTCAATACAAATGTAAAATAAATATATCTTAGCCTTATAACAGAGGAGAATATTACAACTATGTTCAAAGTCCTGGCTTCAGTCTCCACCACCACAGGAAAAGAAAAGGAGTGGATAATGAAAGGATGAACCCTCACCTGCTCCTAAGCACTTACCAGGCTCTATAATTCACAGTTTTATTTGATTTCCTCCAGCTGTCATGATGTAGGCATTCCCACTTTGCAAGAGAAAAGCCTGAGCTCAGAACGGTCAAGTAACTCTCCTAAGGGGATCCCTTATTTCAGGAGATCGCCAACTTTTTGTCTCACTGCATTAACAGCAACTGAGAGCCAAAGCGGGAAGCAGCAGCAGCCTTGTTCTTTCTCGGAGCTCCTTCACACTCTCTGGGCACTGGCATTTATTCTCTCTCCAGAGTCCTCGATTTAAAGTATCTGCTGCTGGCAAAGAGCTCCTCTCGGAGCCTGCAGGAGGCAAATTGCTTCTGTGGACAGTCTGAATCAGTCCCACATCCCACACCTGGGATTAAAACAAAATCTACAACAGAGAATGGATTAGGAAACACCAACCAAAAGGCAGCCTAAGACTAAGGTCATTAAAGGGGACAACCTATTATGCTGAATGGTCTCCTTTCCTTGCAGCTGGTCGTAGGAGACCTTGGCCCCAGTGGGCAGCAGCCCCGCCTGAAGGTGCTCAAAGGACCCACAGTACTGACAGAAAGCCCACTGCCTGCCCTGCCAGCCTCCGCTGCCACCTTCCTCATGGAGCAGCATGAGCCCAGGACCCCTGCCCTAGCCCTCGCCTCAGGGCCTTGTGTCTATGTGTATAAGAATCTTCGACCCTACTTTAAATTCAGCCTGCCCCAGTTGCCTCCAAACCCTTTGGAACAAGACCTTTGGAACCAAGCCAAAGAGGTAAGTGACATAGGGAACAAGAGCACAAAGATGGCAGCTCCTGGGAGGACAGAAGCCAGAGGATCCCTCCGCACTAGCCACATCCCCTCCTATTTGTGGGTAAGGGAAGCCAATAAAGGGAGAGGCTCACCAGAGTGAGTGGGGGATGACCCTGGAGAGTAGGGACACCTCCAGGATTCAACAGTAAAGAGGATGATGCAGGTGAACATGATCCAGAGATGGATTCAAATCAGGATCTTGGACTTGGGGTTCAGTGCCAGGCCTTTGGAAAGAAAGTGGAGTGGAGAGGAAGGCCCACCCCCTGACCCCAAGTGTAGATGCCCTCAGCTGCCTGAGGACATGGCTGCTCGGGCTCACAGGTTCTTCCTTCTCCCCATGCTGACGCAGGACCAGATCGACCCCTTAACCCTGAAGGAGATGCTGGAGGGCATCAGGTGAGCCTGCACCCTCCCGTTCCACTCCTTGATCCCCAGACTCTCCTGTGAGCCCTCACTAAACCAGCCGTGTTGGCCTCTTGTTGCAGGGAAAAGGCAGAGATACCTTTGTCTGTCCAGTCGCTCAGGTGGGAGTCTGTGGACGCAGGGCAGAGGGGCTGTCTGTGGACTGGCACCAAGGGCAGCCAGGCCATGGCATGCTGGTGCTAGTTCCTCTTGTGTGTAGGTTTCTGCAGCTGGAGCTGAGTGAAATGGAGGCATTTGTGAACCAGCACAAGTCCAAGGTTATCAAGCGGCAGGTAATACCCTATAAAGTGCTTACAGTTCTAAAATGGCGTATGTCCATGTGTGGACAGGCGCGTGTGTGTGCACGGGCACGGATAAAGTGCTTACAGTTCTAAAATGGTGTATGTTCATGTGTGGACAGGTGCGTGTGTGTGTGCATGGGCACGGAGACCAGAGGACGGCCTCAGGTGTCATCCTTAGGAATGCCATCCATCACCTTTCAGATAAGGTCTCTTTTGGCATAGAACACCAATTAGGCTACACGATCTGGCCAGGAAGTCCCAGGGATCCATCTGTCTTTGCCTCCCTAGTATTGGTATTTCAGAAATGGGTCACCATGCCTGGCATTTCTTGCACGGCTTCTGGGGATCAAACTCAGCTCCTACTTGAATCCCCAGCTCCAAACACTTACATAAGAAACAAAAAATAAAATAAAATAAATAAAATAAAACAACAACAAAACCAAACAGCTAATCAGCAGTTATTTCTAACATCAAACCTGGCCGTGGCACTGTGCAGTTTTCCTTCCAGCCACATTACATGTCTAGGGTCTCCAAGCAGGCCACCTTCCACGTTTCCGGTTAACAGGGATGGCTGGGAAGCAGTTACGACATATTATTAGGCTCATTTTCTTGAGGGTAAAGATAATTACATTTTTATTACAGAATATTCAAAAATAAAGATGAAATTCCACGAGCTAGAGATACCTACTGCTTACTATTTCTGCACATTTCCTTCACACTGTGCTTTTTTATGCTGCTTCTCTTGAATAACATTTTGAGAACATATTTTGAGTCTTAAATAGCCTTTGAGAATTCTAATAGCTCATTATTTAATTGGTTATTTGTGATTTCTTTCATTTGTTAGCTCTTGATAAGATTTTTTTTGTTATTACTTGCTATAATTTTATTTTACTTTTAAGTGTCATAAAACCTTCAAACCACATATCAAAATGATGATGGATCATTTCCATTTTTTTTTTTCAGACAGGGTTTTTCTGTCTTGGACTCATTTGTAGCCCAGGCTGGCCTCAAATTCATAGACTTTTCCTGCCTCTGCCTCCAGAGTGCTGCGATCAGAGGCACCACTGCACCTGACAGCCTCTCCGTAGCTGAGTGTGGCTTTGTCCCTTGGATCCTCTTGCCTCTGCCTCCCAAGTGCTGAGCTTGCCGGCCTGCACCACCACACTCAGTGGTTCGTGTCTTCGGCACTCCTCTGTGCAATCAGAAAAGCATTTTGGTTCTGCTAGTTTCCATAGAGAGACTCTGCAAAAATGAAGCATCCTTTTTTTTTTTCTTTTAAGATTTATTTATTTATAATTTACGTTGTATTCTGTCTGCATTTGTGCCTGCTCACCCGAAGAGGGCACCAGATCTCAACTATAGATGGCTATGAGCCACCATGTAGTTGCTGGGAATTGAACTCAGGACCTTTGGAAGAACAGCCAGTGTTCTTCACCTCTGAGCCATCTCTCCAACCCCTGAAGGATCCCTTTTTTTAATGTCCAGTTATAATTACAAAATGAACACATGCCTACTGTAGAAGTTCCAGAAAAGCTCTGGTCTTATTGCTCAGAGAGAACAAGTATTTGTGTTTGAGACTTCAGCTTCTAGCATGTTTCTGTGTTCACAAATATTATTTTATTTTGTTCTGTTTTTGAGAAAGGGTCTTGCTTCAGCTATCCTGGGCCTTGCTGTGTAGACCAGGCTGGCCTTGAATTTACAGAGATTTACCTGTCGGTGCCTCCTGAGTGCTGGGATTAAACGCGAGTACCAGCACTCCTGGATTATAGGCATTTAATAAAGATAAATTTTATCTGTATGAATGTTTTGTGTGCATGTTTATATGTACTGCCAGTGTGCCTGATGCCTGCAGATCTTCATGTCATTGGGTCTTCTTTTAAAGCATGTTTTTGTTGTTTGGAGAGTTTGTTGGTGTTTTGTCTTTTTGTTTTGTTCTTGGAAACAAGGTCTACTAGGTAGTTCTGGCTGGCCTTGAATTGGATTTTTAAGCCAAGCTGGCCTTGAACATGCAGCAATCCTCCTGTCTCTGCTTCCCTAATGCTGGGACTACAGGTGTGAGCTATACCCAGCTGTTAAACATGTGGCCATGTTGCTTTTGATTATATGATTAGCTCATAAGTGGATTAGACAATACTTACTGTTAAGAAGTTAGGTTGCCTCAACGTTCAGACATGCCTCTCATGTTTGCTCCTCTTCTGCCCTCTCCCTTCCCCTGTCTGGTTTTTTGGGTGTCTGGGGACATGGAGGGGACTTCTGCAGACAGTCATCACCACTATGACCACCCTGAAGAAGAACCTGGCTGATGAGGATGCAGTGTCATGTCTGGTGCTAGGCACCGAGAACAAGGAACTCCTCGTTCTTGACTCTGAGGCTTTCACCATTTTAGCCAAGGTCAGTATCAGGTCTGTCACTGGCTATACTCAAGGTCCAGGCTGCCTTTCCCTTCGTGCTCTCCCAGTGTTGGTAGTATCAGTTCACTGAAGAAAAATAAGCAAATGTATCTAAGCATAAAGAAAAAGATGTCCCAAATGCTCACAACTACTCAAATCTAGTGTAAAGATTTATAGTGGATCCTTCTGGGCGGTTTCACATGCAGATTAGTTTCCTAGCTTGAGTCAAACATGACCATTTTATGTGGAGGCGTATTTCTAGCTTCATTACCGCTGCTGTGATAAAATTCCCCGCCCGAGAGCAGCTCAGGGAGGAAGGGGCTTGATTGCATTACAACTCCAGGTCACAGTCTATTGTTTCAGAGGAGTCAGGGCAGGAACTCAAGCAGCTCCTCATATCACATCCACAGTCTAGAACAGAGGAAGAGATACGCGCACGCTGTCCGCCAGCTTGTGCTTAACCTGCAGCTGGCCTTTTTCGCTCAGACAGTTCGGGGCCCGCCAGTGAGCTGGTATTGCCCACACTCAAGGTTTAACTTGCCACCTCAAGTAACAATCAAGACAGTTGCCTACAGGCCAGCCTGACCTATGTAGTGCCTTAACCAAAACTTGGCACAGGCAAATCTCAGTTTTTGTCAAGTTGAAAGTGAAGTGCAAGCAGCACCGCATCCTTAGCTCCTCAGGCCCCTGCTCAGAGGCCAACAGTTTGTCTTTTCACAGTATGTATGACATCAGTGTCATCACAAAACTGTGTCACCCTTTTTATGGTTATTCTTTGCTTTTTTGCAGTGTAGCCCAGGATAGCCTTGAACTTGTGATCCTTCTGCCTCCATCTTCCAAGTGCTGATGTTACAGTGTGTACCACCATTCCCAGCTTTTTATCAGCCCTTTTAAAGCCTCCACAGAGCCATTCTCTCTCTCTCTCTCTCTCTCTCTCTCTCTCTCCCTCTCTCCCTCTCTCCACACCTTGCCACATGGTGTCCACTTAAATGGTTTCACTGTTATTAATGCTGCTATAGTCTTCCTTGTTCAAACAACTTAGTATGTCTCCTTAAATAATTCTCATACTTTCCTGGAGGTGGCAGAGTTTAGCCAAATGGTGTAGCTTAACCCTGCATAGAAATTTAAGCTGTGACCACTAGGAAGTGAATGAAGAGATCAGGATTTTAGTCGAGAAATAACAGTTTCTTCCAACTATGGTCAGTGGGTTTGAGCCTTTTCTCTGCAGATGAGCCTGCCCAGTGTCCCCGTCTTCCTGGATGTGTCTGGCCAGTTTGATGTGGAGTTCCGGCTGACCGCTGCCTGCCGAAATGGGAGCATCTATATCCTGAGAAGGTAGCTGCCTCCAGACCTGTGGCCTCCAGACCTGGTTTAGAGCACTGGGTTTCACAGGTTTTCAAGATGAATATGAGGTTTGGGTGCCGGAACTGGGGATTGAAAAGAGATGAGAATTTTTTAAAGGAGGTTGAACTGGTGAGGGTTGATGAGAGGAGGAGGCTGATAGTGTAAGAGCCTGGCATGATGGCTGTAACACATGAGCAGTAGTCAGGGTGGAGGAAAAGTATAATCTCTTGTATTTGTTATGTTTTAGGATGTATGTGATACATGCATTAGTTTGATGTCCCAGACAGTTTGTTTTTTTTTGTTTGTTTTGTTGTTGTTTGCTTGAGACAGGGTTTCTCTGAATAGCCCTGGCTGTCCTAGAACTCCCTTTATAGACCAGGCTGACTTCAAACTCACAGAGATCTGCCTGCCTCTGTCTCTCAAGTGCTGGGATTAAAGGTGTGCACTGCCACCACCCAGTTAGATTATTTTATGTTTATATTATTAGATTATTTTACTTTATATTATTTTATCAGTATTTTTCCCATGTGCATGTTTGTATACCACGTGCTTGTGATACCCACAAAGGCTAGGAAAGGTCATCAGCCTCCTAGGACTGGATTTTTAGGTGATTGTGAGCCATGATATGGATGCTAGGAATCAAACCAGGGTCTTTTGGAAGGACAGTCAATGCTCTTAACCTCTGAGCCATTTCTCCAGCCCTCTAGACAGCCTTTTATTTATTTATTTATTTATTTATTTATTTATTTATTTATTTATCTCTATTTATTTAATTTTTCTCTATTTATTTATTTATTTATTTATTAAATTTTGTTTTGTTTTTTAATACAGAGTTTCTCTGTGTAGCTGTGACTGTCCTGGACTCACTTTGTAGACCAGGTTGGCCTCAGACTCACAGTGATCCACCTGCCTCTGCCTCCCTGAGTGCTTGGATTAAAGGCTTGTTGCCACCATGCCCAGCTTAGACAGTCTTTTAATTCAAGACATTACTGAGCATCTCCTTTGCATTCAGCACTGTACAGTGGGCTGGAGAGTCTCTGCTGAGTGGAATACTGTAACTACAGGTCCTGCATTCATGGGAAAGACATAGCAAAGATACTGTAAGTTAGATGACTATTGATTGGGAAGAAATGGAGGCCCAGTGGGAAAAGAAACATCATCTGTGGTGGTGGCTCAAAGGGGGCATGCAACTGTAGTCCCAAAATTTGGAAGGCGAAGAAGAGAGAATTCCTAGAGCCCAAAACCCTGTGAGATGCACAGTCATTACACTGGAGAAAGTGGGCCACAGCGGAAGGCTGAAAGGTAGAAATTACCCCCCTCTCTGGCAAAGGAAAACTAAGATGGAGAGACCAGAAAACTGAAGGTGACACCAACAGTAAGTGTGCCATTCTTTCTGATAAACCAGTAAGCTTCCTAAGTCCAATGGCACTGGCAAGGCTGCTCTAAGGTAAATGTACTCACGACTTGAAATCCCAGGCTGGCTCACTTGTCATCATAGCGAAGGGCAGGAGGGGACAGGAGGAAAACATACCTGGTGTTATCCAAGGTCACACGTCTACTAAGTGGTAGATGGAGAAATAATCCCATTATCTACTCAGGCCCAAGGGTGCTTTCAGGTTAATCTGGGTGCTTAGAAGTGATGGTTCAGCCAAGGAGATACACACAAGGCTTCTCTGGGCAAAGAAAATGTGTCTTTATTCCACAGAGACTCCAAACACCCCAAGTACTGCATCGAGTTGAGCGCCCAGCCTGTGGGGCTGGTCCGAGTCCACAAGATCCTGGTGGTGGGCAGCACCCAAGAAAGTCTGCATGGCTTCACCCACAAGGTGTGGTCCCCAGCAGGCCCCACCCCTCCACACCGCCTGCCCTGTGAGCCCAAAGCTTTCCATTGTTCCTCTCTCCAGCCACCCCTTCTTTCCAAGTGAAGCCCTGAGCTCCCTGCAGACACTGGCTATTTCTTGCCAGGGAAAGAAGCTGTGGACATTGCAGATGCCTGCAGCCATCCTGACCATGAACCTACTGGAGCAGCGATCCCGGGGCCTGCAGGCTGTCATGGCTGCTCTGGCCAATGGGGAAGTCCGAATTTACCGTGACAAGGCCCTGCTTAATGTCATTCGTGCACCTGTGAGCATGCCTCCAGCATTTGCTGCTGGCTCTTCCTTACCCAAGCCCTATTTATTTTTAATAATTTTTATTTAGCATTTGACAGTTTCATTCATGAATGTAATTGATCTTTCCCACCCACATTTCCCTCTTACCCCCTCAGCTTCCTCTGATACCAGGTCTTCCTTCTGCTTTCATGAGTTTTTGTTTTGAATTTAATTAGGGCGGTCTGCCTGTGTAGGGGATGGCTTTATTTACTGTATCATGGCCAACTTACTGGTGGTAACACCCCTGAAGAAAAATGACTTCCCCGCCTCCAGCAGCCACTAACTGCCAATAGCTCCTTAGCTCAGGTGGGGCCTCATCAGCTCTTGCCCATCCATCTAGCCCTGCTTCTTCACTGCCTCTCCTGACTCCACAAGATTGTGTCTTAGAAATACTGGTTGAACCCCTCATGATGTACATTTGCCACATGAGGGGAAAGGGGGCATAAACATGACTAAGCCCTTATTTCCGGGGAGTTTATATGTGGTGAAAACCAGCCAGAGAGAAATGAACATACAGAACAGATGGGAGCAGAAAAAGCACTAAAAGGGGGATGGGGGAATGGCTGGAGAGATGGCTCAGTAGTTTAGAACACTGGCTATTCTTCCAGAGGACCTGGGTTCAATTCTCACCACCCACATGGCTGTCTGTAACTTCATCTCCAGGGAATCTGACACCCTCACATAGACATACATGTAGGCAAAACACCAATGAAGGTAAATTAAAAAAAAAAAAAAATCTTTAGAAAGAAAGAAAGCAAAGGGGCCAAGTGACTTGGGGTCAGGGAGACAAATCAGTTTGCCAAGTGGATGAATGGCAGAAGAACTTCTAGAGCAGGAGCAGCATGGACAAAGGCTGAGGGCATCAAAGTTCTTCTGTTTATTTTTGTGACAGGGCCTCACTATGTAGCTCTAACTGGTCTGGCATTCACTATATGGAGCAGGTTGGCCTCTGGCTTATAGGGATTTACCTGCCTTTGCTTTCTGAGTGCTGGGATTAAAGGCCTGTGCCTCTATGCTCTGATCTTTATTATTATTACTATTACTATTATTATTGTTATTATTAAAATATAATTACATAATTTTCCTTTTCCTCCCTCCAACCATTTGCATGGACCTACTCTCCTTGCTCCCTCTTAAAACTGCTCTTTTTTTAGTTGCTATTATCTTACACACACACACTCACACTCACTCACTCTTACAATCTTATTAGTCATTTAGTATGTATATGATTTCAGGGCTGACTACTGGGTATTGGATAATCAATTGGGCTGATTTTTTTAAAATTAATTTGTATGTATGGCTGTTTGCCTGCATGTCTGTGCACCGCTTGTGCACAGTTTCCACGAAGGCTAGATGAGGACCAAGGATCCCCTGGATCTGGGATTAGAGACCACCACGTGGGTGCTGGGAATCAAACCTGGGTCCTCTGGTCAAGCAGCCAGTGCTTTTAACTGCTGATCCAGCTTTCCAGTTCCAGGGCTCTTTTTAAAAAATAATATACTTTAAAATATATTTATAGCTGGGCGTTATAGTGCACACCTGTAATCCCAGCACTCAGGAAGCAGAGGCAGGTGGATCACTGAGTTTGAGGCCAGCCTGGTCTGCAGAGCAAGTCCAGGATAGCCAAGGCTACACAGAGAAACCCTGTCTCTCATATATGTGTGTGTGTGTGCTTGTGCCAGGGTGATCATGTGAGGATCAGAGGACAAGTTTCAGGATGGGCTCCTTCCTCCATGGGTTCTGGGGAGTGAGCTCGGGTTGTCAGACACCCACAGTGAGTGTTCTTTCCCTCTGACCATCTCGCCAGCCCTGCATGAAAGTTCTTGATACAGAAATCTAAGTGCTTTGGTGATTGCCACATAAAACTTGAAAGCAGTGGTTGGGCCTGAGTGTAGGAGGTTGGGAGAGCTAAAGAGGAGAAAACTGGGTAAGGCAGACTGGAGTCCGATGTGAAGATCTTAAATATCTTGCCAATAAGAGGAAGAGCTTTTGCAGGTTTGTGATTTTGAAAGGCAGCAGAGGCAACCATGGACACAGTGGAGACACAGACTAGGTGACCCAAGAAACTGATTAGAAGGCCACCCCAAACGAGGACCAGGGGTGTTTAGTGTAGAACTTCAGCAGGGGCAGTGAGTTGGAGGGAGATGGATAATCCAGGAAATATTCCCATGGGAACATTGCCACAGCTTCTCACATCTTGCCCATCTTGACTTTCATTTGGGCGCTCCCCTCCAGCCAGTCTTGCTTTCCTTCTCAAGATATTTTCCCAGCTAAAGTCTGCTTTCTCATGTAGGATGCAGTAACCAGCCTTTGCTTTGGCCGATACGGGCGAGAGGATAATACCCTCATCATGACTACTCGAGGTGAGGACTCAGATCTGGGAAGGACAGAGGGACTGGAGTGAAGAGGGTGAGATTCTGTGGAGGAGAGGCATGGATAGACGGGTGGAAGCCAGGCCTATGGACATGCCCTATGTAAGATTGATCAGCTCATCAGCTGTTGGCTTTTCCTGCCTAGGAGCTAATGGTGGTCAGGCTATGTCTCTCTGGCCTGCTCCCTCAGCACCCACCATAGAGCCACTGTACTTTGTAAACAGCCACTAAATGAATGAATGAGAGAGTGATAAGAGACTGCTGAAAGCCAAGTGTGCTGGAACAGCAGCGCTTGGGAAGGTGGATCAGGAGTTCAAGGCTATCCTAGGCTACATGGGTCTCTTCTCAGGATAAAAAAGGCAGACTGGGGATATTTCATTCTTTTAGGAAGTGAGTCTTGTTAGAAAGATAGACATGTTTGGACAAGCGTGTGATTGTTTGGGAATGGGATTCTTCAATGGGAATGTGGGATAGGGCAGGGGACAGGATGTGTTTTTGTTTGCCCACTATCAGGTGGTGGCCTGATCATCAAGATCCTGAAGCGTACGGCGGTGTTTGTGGAAGGGACCGGTGAGGTGGGCCCACCACTAGCACAGACCACGAAACTCAATGTGCCCCGAAAGACCCGGCTGTATGTGGATCAGACCCTGCGAGAGCGGGAAGCCGGCACAGGTAAGACTCAGGGAAGAACACAGGCAATCCCATTGGGTGCCTTGAGCATGAGCGAGACCTGAGCCGCAGGGAAGGTCAGAGGTTTGAGGGTGCTGCTGGTGAGTGCCAGGGCCCTTAGCACCAGAGCCTACAGTTACTTCCAGTTGCAGAAATTCTCAAGAGAAAAGGAGAGCTTCACCAGGATTCTTACCCTTGTTAAGTTTCCTGTGCACCCATTTATTACCCATGTTGACACCAGACACGCAGTTTCTTGGGTTTTTTTTTAAATTATTTTATTTTATTTTATTATTTGATTTGATTTGATTTGATTTGATTTGATTTGCCAGCCATGTATGTCTGTCTGTGTGACACTGTCAGATCCTCTGGAACTGTAGATACAGATGGTTGTGAACTGCCATGTGGGTGCTGGGAATTGAACCCAGGTCCTCTGGAAGGTCAACTGGTGCTCTTAACCACTGAGCCATCTCTCTAGGCCTGAAGTTTCTTGAATTGGGCCATCCCCTACCTAGGGAGCTCAGTCCCTCTGGCCAACTTCATGTTGGGCGCTAGATTGTTTTTTCTGAGGGTTGCTAAAGCACATACAAGGGAGAGAAAAATATTGTCTGGGGCATGTTGATGGCACATGCTTTAATCCCAGCACTTGGGAGGCAGAGAGTAGATCTCTATGAGTCTGAGGTCAGGGAGAGTTACCTAATGAGACCCTGTCTCAAAAACAAGTCTAACAAAATAACAAAGCGTGTTGGTGAAAAAATGCATAAAGTGTGAGGAAATCAGTAGGGAGTTAAGTTCTCTAAAGTAACTAGATATAAAAGTCTTAAAATCTCATAATCTTTGGCTGGAGAGATGGCTCAGTGGTTAAGAGCATTGGCTGCTCTTCCAGAGGACCTGGGTTTGATCCCCAGCACCCACATGGCAGCTCACAAGCATCTTAAGGCCTTTTCTGGAGGGTTCAAAGCCCTCTTCTGCCCTCTCTAGGCACCCACAGGCAGGCATACATATAACACATTTAAGAAAACCTCATAAGCTTTTTATATGAGCCAATAATTGACTGGCAAAATGACAGAAAATGGTCTGTTCACAATAGCAAAAAAATAAATATGGGGCTGGAGAGATGGCTCAGCAGTTAAGAGGTCCTTCAGAGGACCCAGGTTCAATTCCCAGCACCCACATGGCAGCTCACAATGCTCTGAAACTCCAGTTCCAGAAGATCCAGCAGCACGTGCTGCACATATTTGTGCATACAGACAAAATAGCCACACACCTAAAGTAAATAAATCTTAAAAAAAAGGAAATATGACGAGAAACTGTACAAAGTCCAGTAAAGAAAAACTGTAAAACTATCTCCCTGATGGATGTGGCGGCACATGTGTATAATCCCAGCTCTCAGGAGGCGGAAGGTAGGATAGCCAGCTTATGGTCAGCTTTCGCTACCTTAGGCCAAAGCTGAGCTTAGGCCCTCACTCAACACCAGAACAACCACCTCAAAACAACAACACACCCAGCGCTGAGGCAGTCAGAGCGGGTGCTGTGGCTCTGGAGGTGGATCTGACGAAGGGGCATCTGTGCCTGGCAAATGGTTAGGGGTAAGGGATGAAGCAGGGACTTAGGGACAGAGGTGCAGTGCGTGGGATGGGTGCAGTGAGCAAGGCTGGTTTCCGTTATGTTGAGCTTGGTGTGGGTAGGACCTCGCGTGGAGATGACTCAGAGGCAGTTCAAACAGAGGCAGGCCTGAGTAGCCACAAGCTGCTGGGACACAGCAAATAGAGCCTGCACATCTGGGCTTACCATGTAGATATGGGGACAAGTTTAGAAGCTGGAAGCTGATATTGTTTGGGGTGGCAGAGTCAGGGCAGGTCCTATTATATCCAGAGTACAAGATGGTGGGTAAGGAGACCAAGATCAGCCTTGAAACTGGGACCAGCAGTCTTGAGGGCTGCACAGAAGGAGCAGGGATGGAGACAGACTGTGTAAGCAGTGAGGTGGTAGAACCGGGAAGGAGGAATAGGGTATAGTCCCCAGCACCTAGCGTGGCCTTCCCTACCCCTACATTCCCAGCTTCTGGGGACCTTGCTCCTGCTATCATGCCTTCCTTTTCTGTTCCTCTCACATGATCTGAGCAAAAATACTCTCCCCTTCTCCTGCTTTTGCCTTCCTGCCCCTGTCTGCAGCCATGCACCGGACCTTCCAGACAGATCTCTACCTGCTGCGCCTGCGGGCTGCCAGAGCCTACGTACAGGCCCTGGAGTCCAGCCTGAGCCCTATGTCGACCACAGCTCGGGAGCCACTCAAGCTGCATGCTGTGGTAAGCACTCAGGTATAGGGACATTAGGGGCAGGGTGAGTGGGATCGTCCCTGCTCTACAGGTTCGAACCCAGAGCCAGTGCCACGCACTAGCCCTGTGCTCCCTTCTCACCTCCCCACACATCCAGACACCGAGGAGACACTAAGGACACCTTGTCCCTCTGAGAGCTGCTCCCATACTGCTCCTCAGGAGGGCTGCTCAGCCTTCTTTGTGTCCTTCTCTGTGGCTGGCTACTGTACATACTCTGTCCCATGCTGTACCTCAACCAAACCCCTAGGCTGGAGGGGTATAAGCACAAAGTAATTGCGATGGGACGTTTCTTCCCAAGGATCTGGAGGGGTTCTCCTGGCCACAGACCAAGGAAGAGTGACTTCTGTTGGCATGGACAGCCTAAGGGATTAGGACTTCTTGGTACAGGGAAGGGTCACCCTGACCTGACCCTAGGTGCCCTGGCCATGTGTAAACACACACACACACACACACACACACACACACACACACACACACACACTCAAGCAACCTCCAGGTCTATGGGGCCTCAGCCAGTTCTAAGTGATCCAGAGTGTTTTCAGAGGCACTCTAATTACTCCTTTTCTCTCTCCCAATCCCGAAAGAAACCCCAGGCTTTCTCTGTGCATCCCTGGCTGTCCTGGAACTCACTCTGTAGACCAGGATGGCCTAGAACTAAGGCCTGCCTCCCAAGTACTAGGATTAAAAGCATGCACCACCATGCCCAGCTTCAGTTGCTTCTTTTCTGAAGAGAGTGGCTAGATACAGAAGAAGAAACGGTTACAGAGCCACTTAGAATTAGGGTGGGGATGGCGTTTAAGTCACTGAGCTATCAGGATGAGAGCTGAAGGCAGTCAAACCCTGGGGTCGGTGAAGAGTACAGCTGCAGCCCCAAGCCAGCTGTACTCGGAACTTGCTGAGAAGCATCCATCAAGACCTTCCCGATCTGTGCCTTTCCATTCTGCATTTCCTTTGGGCTTCTGTACCCTTTAAGAAGCAGATAGACAGAAGTGGAGAAGGGTTGCTTGAGGGCATTGATGGAGAAGCAGCGGGTAAGATGGTGGCCTTGTCATCTACTCTCTCAACAGGTTCAAGGCCTGGGTCCCATCTTTAAGCTCACACTTCACCTTCAGAACACCTCAACAGCTCGGCCGGTACTGGGCCTGCAGGTCTGCTTTCTGTACAATGAGGCACTCTATGCCCTGCCCCGGGCCTTCTTCAAGGTATTGGATGGATCTACATGTTGACATGGGCTCCAGCAGCCAGGGCTGGGGCTGATGAGGTTCTCCTAACTGTTAGGTTGAGGTAAAGGAGTCACAAGCCAGAGACTAGATGCAGCCCCTGCCTCACTGCCTTTCTCCCAGCCAGAGAGACCTCAGGGAACCACATAGAAGGAGCTGGCAAATAGCAGCGTGAGTTCTTCCTCTGCCCCGATGCCATTGAGGAGGGCAGGGGGCTCTAGAACTGGCTTCCCAGCTGTTCCTGCTGGAGAAAAGCAGCCACTCTCTGCATGAGTCAGTACAAAAAAAAAGGGGGGGCCTAGTTTCCACCAGGGCCCAGGGTGTCCTCAGTTGGGAGAAGCAATAGCCAAGACTCTTGAATTGGCAGGAATCAGCCCTGGCCTGGTTAGACGTCAAGAGGTCAGTGTTTAACCACAGACACACGTGAGCCCCAGGCAGGCACTTACCCACCCTGTACCTTGTTCCCTGGATCTGGCTGGTCGTCCTGGCTCAGGGTGAAGGGTCCTGAGGTTCAGCTGAGAGGACAGACACAACTGCTTTGGGATTTGCCAACACTGTCCGGGTGCATGCGCTTTGAGGGGTAATTTCTTTCTGTCCCCCACACAGGTTCCCTTGCTGGTGCCAGGACTCAGTTACCCATTGGAGACCTTTGTGGAGAGTCTCAGTAGCAAGGGCATCTCAGACATGATCAAGGCAAGTTGTCTTTGGTATTTCAGAGAGGCAGGTGGGATCCTGGGGAAGAGAGTAGGGTGAGGGTGGACTGTTGGGATGCTGGTCTGTGGTGGTATGTCAGCGCAGCAGAGGCCTCGCAGCCTTCCATCCCTTTGGCAGCTAGGCTGGGAGCCAACACTTGAGCCAGCACACGCAGATTCAGTGGTGGCAAAGTGAGCCCCTTCTGCCATATCTCCTCCCTAGGTGCTAGTGCTCCGGGAAGGCCAGAGTGCGCCCCTGCTGAGTGCCCACATCAACATGCCTGTGAGTGAGGGGCTGGCAGCCGCCTGAACCCTGGACCAGCATTCAAGCTTCCACATAATGGAGCCAGCCAGATGCAGTGACTTCCAGCGTCTTAGGCCACTTTCCCTGACAGCAGTGTAGAGAGCCATCAGTTCCCTGTTCCTCTCCGAAACAGTCCCTTGCTCCCCTCCTCTGCCACTGGGCCTCAGCAAAAAGACAGGGAGTTCTCAGAATCAGCTCCTCTTCCCTCAGGACCCAAGCACTGTCCCTTAGTTCCTGCTGCCTACCACCTCCACAGCTCTTGAAAGAAACCTCACCAGGTCCCAGGAGGAGATCTGGGATATGTCCAGGTGGGCATAGGCCCAGCCCTTCTTCCCTCCCCTCATCTGTTGCAGATCAAGCCCACAACAGGTCAAGGGCTTGGCCTGGGAAACTGGTTGAGACTGAGCCCCCTGATGCCCTTTGAGGTTTCAGGGACATGGCTGCTGCCAGCTTAGCTCACAGATACATGTACTAAGTTTTCTCAGCTAAAAGAGGGGCTCCACTTTCTACCCTGCAGCCAAGGAGTCATTGAGCTCTGTCCCCAAGTCTTAGACTATACACAGAGATTGTTAGAGGAGGAGGTACAAGAGGAAGAGGGGGTCCATGTGGGGAGCTAGAGACCCCAGCCCCAGCCAGAGCTCCCACACAGCAGCTGCCCCTGACCTGGATTCCTATCTCCAGAGACAGTGTTCCTGATATGGAACACCAAGCTAGAAGGCAGAGCTAGGGCTGGTGGCACCGGGAGAGCTGTTTGTGGGACCTGGGAAATGGCCCAAGAGGCAGGTGCCTACAGGTGCCTGTCAGGATGCACTTAGGCCCAGGCACCCAAGATGGCCCTGAGGTCACTGAAAAGGCACATACCAGAGGTATGGAATGAAGCTGAAGACTAAATGAAGATGTGTTTAGATCCCAAGTGCTAGGACCCCTGGCCCTCTCAACGCCCATTCTGAATCACTTGAGAACCAGGAGTCCTGCTTCTTGGAGACCAACATTTTCTCCAGTGTGACCAAGTTTAGGCTGATGTGTGGCGTACAGCTCAGGCTTGCGGACTTCCACCTCCTCTCTAGTACAAGAAGGCAGTTTGACCGCATTAATTCTAAACCACTGTCAGCTCGAGTATGGTCAAAGCTTGGCAGCTCCTCAGGAGGAAGGGAAGAACTGGTCCAAAAAGGTGATACTGAACTGCACAGCTTTTGTCCACAAAACCAATGTCTCCAAGGTGGCCACTACTGCCCAATAACAGCTTCTGTGCCTGCTTGAGGACCAGGGTGACACTGACCACTTGACCCTTCCAAAGAGTACATCAGGGGCCAGGCTAAGAGACACTTGGGCTTGGACCAAAGAAACAGCCCAACCTCCTTCCCGTATTGCCCATCCCCTCCCAGACAGGCACTACCTGAGCAAGGATGGCAAAGGGTTTCTTTCCCCATCATCCAGCAGAGGCATAGCTGGAATAAGCAGAAGGTCTGACTGGGGAAAAGGGATGGAGGGAGTGTTACTGTCAGTCAGAAACCCAGCCTAACCCGCAGAACTAAGCAGGGATGGAAGGTCTGCCCAAGCTGTTTGTTGAGCCTCTCGTAACTGGCATTATATGAATGGGCCTGCGTGGTCACAGCGCCAGGCTGCATACTGGATCGTGTGACATTCCAGTCCCTTTCACCTCAGTTAAGCTGTGAAATCAGAACAAAACTTTGATGTGTGCTTTCTCCATAGCTACTCATGATGATACAAGGGGAGAAACACCGTGCCGTACAGTGCTTGGTTAGTAAGACGTGTGACATGCACCTTCATCGACTTAAGGGAGCATGAGTGAAGCATAATCAGTGCAGAACACCAGTACACACAGGAGCGGGAGCTCTGAGACATGAACACTAAGGATGAGGAGCGTATCTCTTTAAAAACACTTATTTGAAACACACCCATGGAGTGATCTAGAATGGGCTATTTAAAATAAAATGGCCTCTTCCCATTCCACAGGATCATTCCTGTACAGCCATTTTCATGAACTATTTTAAAAATACATATATACTATTTTTTTAAAGATTCTTTTGTGTGTGTGTTGGGTTTATGTCTGTGAGTCCAGGTGCCCAAGGAAGCCAAACGAAGAGTGTTGGCTCTCCAGGAGGTACAGGGGGTTGTGAGCTGCCCAGGGGGGGTGCTGGCAGCCAACCTGGGTCCTCTGCAAGAGTGAGGGCTCTGAACCACAGAGACGTCTCTCCAGCCAGTGTACTACTCTCGCTTCAGTTATCAGTCTTAGACATTCTCCCTGCTGGAGTCCTTAGTGCTCTTGAGACCCCTCCCCTGCTCTCCACGCTTTGGAAAACCAATACTCGCTGTTTATATTGATATATGAAAGTCTTGTGTTGGTAGGTTGTTCTTGTGGAATGTCTAGAATTTACCCCTGTTCATTCACATGCTGATTTCTCTCCCCTACTCTCTGGTTTCAATCCGGACATTGCATCATGATGTTTATTCTAAGCAACACCTGTCTCAAGTTTGTGTAAATATACCACCATTTGTTCTCTGTATTGTCAATAAAACAAACCAGTGCTGAGCAATGGAGAGAATGAGGTATCCTGGTCCAGGGTGGAGGAGAAAGAAGTGAGTGGGAGGAAGGGTTCGGAGAAGAGAGATGGAAAAAGAGAGGACTTGGAAACACCAGGAGAGATGAACTGGACCTAAGATATGACTAAACACAAGTATCTTAATGGGAAGAAGCTATGTGGTTTGGAGGTTTAAGATGGAGTAATCATTGCTCTAGGTTAGCTAAATACATCCTAGTCTCTGTGTGGTGATTTGGGTATATTTAGGAATAACCGCTGATTAACTAAAAGATAAATCGATAATAAATGTTAATAAACAAGAACATCTTAGTAAAGCTGAGACTTAAGCTAAACCATTTTTGAACTTTCAAATGTTCTCATGGAATTGGTACTTGGATCTTTTTTTCTCTTTTTGCTTAGATTTCTAATATACCATTGAAAATTCTCCCAACCTCAGTTCTCCAGACACTTCCTTCAGACCTTGCTTCTGTATAAACTCCTCTACAAGAGAGCTCCCCTTTCCCTTCTCCAGGGCTAGATCCCTGGACTCCTGGGTTCCATGCCTTCTTTCTTATTCTGTCCTCACTTGGTAAAACCCACCTAAGTCTTTATAGCCATGCACGTCTGGACTGTGTAACAGTTTGGGTGGTAAAACAAAGCTGGAACTAGTTTTTCTATAGACAAAGCTCCCATGTCTTCTGTGCTGTTTCCACTCAGTCCTGATTGTTGCTCTGTGAGGTGGGGAGAGATGGTTATTCTCTCTCTGGGACTCCAGTTACACCCCACATCTGACAAATGGTGACTCCTGAGAGGACTGGAATGGCACCAGCTTTAATCCTAATTTTCTTCTCATATTTCATGGTCATCTTTTTCTTTTGTTTTCTGAGAATGAGAATCTTGTCAACTTTTTTTTTGTCAACTTTTCTTAAGCTCCAAACTTTTTCTTAGTTCTCAACTCCCCGATCAGTCTTTGTAGTTTCTTCTCTTGAATTTTTGCATTTATTTGTTCGTGTATGTGGAACCTAATAGCATCTAATTAAACTCATAGTGAACTTATTTAATGAAATGGGCTGCAGGGATGGCTCAGTGATTAAGAGCACTTGCTGATCTTGCAGAAGCTCTGGGCTCAGTTCCCAGCACCCATATGGCTCACAGTTGCCTGTAACTCTGGTTTCAGGGGATCTGACGTCTTTTGGCACAAAACACCCACAAGGGGCACATACATACATATAGGTACCCATACACATAAAAAAATTAACATAGTGGTCTCACCCATGCAGAGAAGCAAGAACCATAAAAACATAAAAGGATTCCAGATGTGGCAGCTCACATCTCTAATCTCAGAATTCAGGAAGTTGAGGTGGGAATGTCAATGAAAATTCAAGACCATGCTGGGCTACACAGCTCCAGGCCAGTTGGGACTGCTGTCTACACCAAAATAGATTTTTAGAGGAAGAGCAAAGACGATGATTACATAAACAGAAGAATGCAGCAAACAGAAGAATCTACAACAAGGGACCAATTTAGACAGCTAAGCAAGCAAAGGCACCTGCAATCAAACTTGGTGACCTGAGTTCAATCCCAGTTTCCACGTGGAAAGAACCAAGTTACCCTCTGACCTCCACACATGTGCCATGCATAGGCACGCCCCTCTCATGCACACAAAATTTTCAAAAAATGTACTGATCTTTATGTGTGCTCAACAGTCCATTAGTCATGTATAGTAACATAAAATACAAAAATAAATCCACTCAAAAGACAGGATCTTTGTCAGAAAAAAAAAAAAAAAAAAGCTTTATTGAAAAGATTTAAAGCTGGCACGGTGGTACACATTCTTAATCCCAGTGCTTAGGAGGCAGAGGCAGGCGAAGCTCTGAGTTTGAGGCCAGCCTGGTCTACATAATTTCTAGGCTAACCAGAGCTACAAAGTGAAATCCTGTTTCAAAAAATAAGGAAACATTCACTGAGGAGGTAAACCATGTTCCTGACCTGGAAGGTTGGATCTCACATAGATGCTGGCTTTCTCCAAGCTAACCTACAGTCCACTGGGCTCCACTGATTATGATTATTATTACTGGTGAGATCTAAGGAGCTGATTCTCAGATTGGTATGGAAGAGCAAGGATTCCTAGTGGGCGATTCCCTCTAAGCTGGGGTAGAGAAAATGACCAGGGGAATAAAATAGAAAATGTTTCGTATATTCAGATCTCCATGTGGAAGAGAAAGAGAGTACCATACCACTACATGCAATAATTTGGATAAATCTCAGAAACAATATGAGTGAAAAGGCAAGCCACAGAAGAGTAAACTTGGCGATTTGTTCATATACAACCAAAACACGCAGAACCAATACAAACACGTAATGCAACCAAAGCAAAGTAAGGGGATGATTACCACCAGCCCGGTTGGGCACAGCAGGGACTTCAAGGAAGAGGTTGTTTTCCCAGACAAGCTGTGGTAAGGGTTATAAGGAGCCTTTCATACCCAAATAAAAACGCATGAAAATTAGTCTACAGGGCAAGGGATAATGCCAATGAGGACAGCAGATCTGCCCGTGCAACACACAGCACGCCAAGACTGGCCCAGCGCCTCACTCCCCTTTCACAGTGCTGGGGAGGTTTTGCCTTGCTTATCTACCCCTCCTTTTAGGAACACATCATTTTGATTTTTAATTCTCTGCTAAGCTCCCAACCTGTCATGTTTCAAAACATTGTCAGGCTCTTTGGTACACAAACATCTATCTTCTTTCCCCCTCATAAATTTGTATTATTTTTACTTCTCCATTTAGTGAGTCTCAGGGCAAACAGATGACTGGTGCACTGAAGTCTGTTTCGCCATTTACTATATTTACATCAGATGCTGAAAGCCAGGTGTGTGGGTTCACGACACCTGTAATTCCCAGTGATTGGGAAGCTGAAGCAGTAGGATCGCTATGAGTTCCAGAGAAGCTGGGGTTACATGGCAAGTCCCAAACCAGCCTGGGATGATAAATGAGACCCTGTCTCAACAATGATAGTAGTAATAAAAGCAAAAAAGAGGGGGCTGGAGAGATGGCTGAGCGGTTGAGAGTCTACACTACTCTTGAAGAGGACCCAAGCTTAGTTCCCAGGACTCACAGCCAGCGGCTCGCAACAGCCCAGCTCTAGGGATTCAATGTCCATGCATGCACACAAGCATGCTCTCTCTCTCTCTCTCTCTCACACACACACACAGATAAATATTAAAATCGTCCTTCATGGGCTCTGGAATGCCTGGAAGCTGATTATTTTTGCCCTGATGTTTCTCCTACTCTCTTCAGCTGTGCAAAAGTAAAGCAGATTCAAGACCTGCATTCAAATCTAACCTCTTAGGCCAGTTGTGGTGGCAAATGTCTTAACCCCAGCACTCAGAAAGGAGAAGCAGGTGGATCTCCTTGAGTTTGAGGCCAACAAGGCCTACATTTCTACCGCACAGTCCTGTCATGTGGTCTGGCAGGGTTTTTACGTTTCCTACAGAGCAAAGATCCTAACTGTAGCCCACACACAGGTGAGCTACAGGAGCTCCTTGAAACCCCTGCTGCGGACACGTGTATGACGTGCTATCCACTAGAGCACGTTTGGATTCTCTTTGCCTGGATCCCACCACACCCTGCCAGGGCTGGAGAAGGCAGAGACCTGGCCCACTGGGATCCCAGGCCTTCTGTAGTCTCCAGGCCTGACAATCATGAGAACTGGAAAAGAGCAACCAAAACAACAAAGTGAAGGATAGGAACCCAGCAAAGATGAGGGAGGCCAAGAGCTGAGTGGGCACTTTACCAGCCTGGCAGAGGGGCAGACAGTTGGGCCAAGTGGCCACCTTGCCAGACCCTTCTCTGCAAAAAGGGGCCAACTCTAGAGAAGGAAGAGCGAACACTGGGCAGGTCCAAAGAGGGGGCTAGAGCCACCCACTCCAGGCATGAAGGGCCAGCCTGGCCTCCCTCCTGTGGCTGGCATGAAGCTGAAAACGAGTGTTCAGTTCCCTCCTCCGCTGCCCTCCGCCCTGTTCATTTCTGGCTCTACCTGGACTCAGGAAGCCACAAGACCCACATCAGCTGGCGTCTGGAAAGTGATCCCATCTCCAGGCAGAGGAGAGGCTAGGAAAGGCCAGAACCAGACTAGGGCCCAGCGTGGCCCCAGGGCTGCCTGCAGGTTGTGGCAGGTGCCCAGATCGTAGGAGTGGTGACCCCGAGCCCATTCCCAGGTGGTCTGGCCCCGCAGCAGCAGCAGCCCATGGAAAAGCAGCCCAGCGCCACACAGCAGTGCACCAGCCACGCAAGTGTCCACCACAAAGGCTAAGATGAACTGGGCCAGAGACACTTTGCCTGTGGGGAGAAAACAAAAAGGGTCTCAGGGAACAGCAGTTGGCTGGCCTTCCCGAACCCAAATCCCGCCCTCTACCCACCAAAGAGGCAGGATTCACTCCTCCATTTCTGTAAATTCAGTTAGTTAGGTACACCTGGGATCTGTGTAACATGGAAAAGTGTATCTTTTACTACCATCTTGGCCTGGGCACACACCTAGTTCCCACTGAGTAATTAGTTGACTGCCAGAGGCAATGAAACACTGTGCTAAGTGAAAGAAGCTGTCATGAATGGGCAAACACATGCGCAGAAAGCAGATGGCCAGGGTTGAGGGGACAGAGGGAGTCAGAGCCACAGGACCCACATAAAAACCTGGATGAGGTGGCATATTCCTGTAATTCCAGCAATGACTGGATGGGAGGGAGAGACAGGTGGATCTCTGGAGCCTTTTGGCTTGCTGGCCTGGCCTACTTGACAAAGTTCCAGGCCAGTGAGAGACTGTCTCAAACAGAAGGTGGAAGGTGCCCAACTTTGTCTTTGCCCTTCATATGTACACACCACACATGCACACACACACACACACACACACACACACACACACACACACACACACAAAACCTCAAAGCATGGCAGAAGTGCTGTGCAAAAAATACTATGTAGAAAAAATAGACTTCATCTATTTTTATAAAAGGGAGAGAAAACACCCAGAAGAAACTCCTAAGAAGCAGTGTCAATAGTCCTGCAGTTTAAAAAGCCCTGTTGCAGCTGGGCATGGTAGCACATGCCTGTAATCCCAGCACTCAGGGAGGCAGAGACAGGTGGATCTCTGTGAGTTTGAGGCCAGCCTGGTCTACAAAGCAAGTCCAGAACAGCCAAAGAGAAAGCAAGTCCAGGACAGCCAAAGAGAAACCCTGTCTTGAAAAACCAAGATAGAAAGAAAGAAAAAAAGTCCTGTTGTGTGGCAGATCTGTGTGCAGCAGAGACCTGACAGGAGGAGCCCCAAGAACAGCTGGACATGCTTGAGTGAGAGGAATGGTCTCTAACACTCATGTACAAGTTACCAAGTCTGTGGGGACCAGCTGTGCAGTGGGAGTTTTGGTTCTTTAAAAACTCAGTCATGCTATATAAACAAGTTTTTGTTTATAATCCCAAGTGTGGGATATGGAGCTGCTTTTAGTTTATCCGAAGCAGATAATCATCTCTCGAGGGGCGTGGCCTTTGCCAGCTGGAGATAGTTAATTCTGAGGACTCTGAGAGGGTGTAAATACCAGAGCCAGGAGAGAGAAAGGATCACTTTGAGACGGATGGACAAAGAAGGCTGCTGGTTTGCTGGACTGCTGGATATCCTGATGACCGAGATTGGTATTGCCTGGAAGAACCAAAGAGTTCTACTCTCGCTCTCCCCTCTACCCTTCTTTCTCTCCTACCTAGTGTTGGGAGGTTGGTAGAAGGGAAGTAGAGGCTTAAGGAACCCGAAATAAAAATAGAATAAAAAGTAGCATCTACTCAGATGAAGGTGGGCCAAAAAGGAAAGCGGAGATGAAAATATCAAAGTCTGAGCTTCAGTTGATGTCAAGAATGTGACACGGGAGGCTTCTGAGGCTGAGAAGTTCCCTACAGCAAGAGAGAGCTGGCTTTTCTACACAGCCTGGCTTGTGCCACTCCAAGAGGAAGGGCAGAGCAGAGGCCAGGTGGGAGCAAGGAGATGAATGAGCAAGGAGAAAGCAAGGGTAAGCCTTCACAAATAAGTCCTTTGGAAGGAGAAGGCAAAATAAGGAAAAGGTCTATACAAGACAGGGGACCCTCAAGAATGCCAGTGAAGAGAGCTGCGGCACAGAAAGATGATAAAACCAGCAGAGGCCTCCAGCAAGGGGGCACCAGTTTCCAAAAGCCATTGAATACAGCAACATTGTTTTTGTTGTTGTTGTTTGTTTGTTTTGTTTCTGAGATAGGCTCAGGCTCACATGCAGCTCCATATGTAACCCAGGTTGCTGCAAACTCGAAATCCTCCTGCCAACCTGGAGGATTGGAAAACAAGGTGAAGCAGAGCCGCAAACATGGCATCATGTATCTCTGACAGCTCTCAGCAGCCAGAAGAGGAAGATGAGCTAGGATGCTGGAATGCTGACAAGAGAAAGGTGAAAATGAAGGGCTCTAGGCTAGACAGGAGCAGGGAAGATGGGACAGGCAAGGTAGGTAAAAAGGACAGAAGGTGGGGGCACATTTGGGTTTCTGACAAGAAGTAGGTCTGCATGTGAGAACTGGGGAAATGAAACACAGGCAAAGAAATGGGAGCCAGAAGTGAGCACATGCATGCCTGTAACCCAGCATTTGGAGAGCCAAGGAAGAGGATTATGAGTTCAACGCCAGCCTCAGCTATTCAGCAAGACTGGGAAGGAGGGAGGGAGGGAGGGAGAAAGGAAGGAAGGAAGGAAGGAAGGAAGGAAGGAAGGAAGGAAGGAAGGATGGATGAGAGTGAAGGAGGAAGGAAGGGAGAGAGGGAGGGAAATGTTAAGGTAAGCTATCTGGGAATGGGTAGGGCTTCTGGCATTTGGGTGTTTTTTTCAACAGGTCCTGGGGTGGAGAGACTGAAAGCCAAGTCAGTGAGTAGCTGGGGACATTGAGGGAGGCTGTGATAACTGCAGGAAAGCACCTGGTCTCGGAAGATACAGAACTGAGAAGAGCCTGGAGAGGAATTGGCATGAGCACCTCAGTGGGCTTCCGGAGGCTGCTCGTGAGTGTGCATGAATGATGGAGACTTCTCAGAATGGCCAGGGAGGTTGCAGAACAAGGTCAACAGAGACAGTGGAAAGGTCAGAACAAAGGAGTCAGGAAACAAAGCCCAAAGTGTTCTGGCTGGAAGGAACAAAGAGTGCACACATCCGTGGGACTTTTATCTTGGCTGGTGTCAGAAGAAAGGGGAATATCCAGAACTCAGCAGTTCAATCAGCCTCCTGCTCCAAGTCCCCTCCCAAACCCAAAGAAAGGGGCTCCCCACTGCCCCGTCTAATCAGGCTCATCTCTCACCCCAGCTTCATGACCCTCCACCATGCATTCCTGGCCAGCCATCCTAGCCTTATTTCTTACCCTCTCCATGGCATCGCCTTTGTTCCTCTCAGGGTTGGTGTACATGCAACGGCCCTCACCTGGTGTGTGTGTGTGTGTGTGTGTGGTGTTTGGGACGGAGGACTTAGATAACCTTCTAGCATTCCAACAACACACGGCCTCTCATAGTAGCCTTTCCTCTTCTGCAGCGACCCCGGGGACCCTTCTTGATTCTGGGGCCAGAACGCTGCTCTTGTCCTGGAGCACCACGTAAAGTACAGTACTTCACACACGTCTGGGTGTCCGGCTTCCCTCATTTTATAAGTGGTGCTGGGACTGGGTCCCCAGAGCATGGCCCAAGAGAACCAGCTGGACACCCCACTTCCCATGGGAAGGGGCCCAGCTCCCCAGCCTGGTGCAAGGGTTCAGAGTGTTCCCTACCTGTGAGTAGCATGAGCCAGGGCAACAGCAGGAGAGCCACGGTGTAGAGGGCTGAGTGGGCCCGAAGCACGGCTGACAGGGCAGGGCTTAGCAGCACGGAGATGTGGAGGAGGACACCGGCGGCGTGAAGCAGCAGACACAGGAAGGGCCGGTAGTTGCGGAAGCCCACGCAGCGGCCCAGTAGGCGGCAGTGGTGGTCTCGCCGTAGGATACACACACGGCAGGCAGAGCAGTGCCCACTACGCGGCGGCACCTGGCTTTGGCACTGGTAACAGTAACTGCAGGGGTGTGACAAACACAGGTCAGTGCCCCCAATCGCTCTCAGTGCCCCAGACCATGCCCAACCTCAGCCTGAGAGACCGTCTTGGGACAGGCACCTTCCAACTTCAGCACTGAAGGCCTGAGGTGGCTACCTCCTGAAACACCTTCTAAAGAGCAAGGTTTTCAAAGGCTCGGAAGTGCTTCCGCCACTAACACCTCTCTCCCCCTCTCCACTCCAAGTCACTGACCTTGAGGTTCTGGAATATTCTGGACAGACAGTGGCTTTTGCATTTTTCTTGGTCTGCTTCCCCACCCTCCCAGAAACCAGCTCAAAAACTCCAGCACCTCCTCCAAGGCTTTGTGTAAACGCCTCAGTGAGGTCCACCTTGACTACTTATTTTTATATTTTAGTTTTTAACTTGCAGATGGACAAGTTAGTCCTAATATATTTTCGGAAGCTATGGCTTTTCAAGTAAAATGTAAATTAATTAAATCAGGCTGATTAACAAATCCGTCACCCAAAAGTCTTGTGCTGGAAACTGACCATCTATCTGAAATTGAAACTGTGCTGGGGAGATGGATCAGTGGTTAAAGGCATTTGCTGCACAGGCCTGACGGCCTGTTCTCTCTTCTGCAGCCACGTGGTAGGTAGAAGAGAACCAACTCCTGAATTGTCCTCCGAGCTCCACTTGTGTGCCAGTGGCATGCGCACCTGGGCTCACACATCACACAAAGGTGATTCAAAAATACTGAAAGTTGCGCTCCTCGCCTTCTTCATCTTGCTGTTTTTTGTTTCCACACCATCTTTTGCCGTCTATTTTATGCAATTTGCTTCTTTATTGGGCTTATAATTTATTATCTGCCCCTTCCGCCACTGAAATTAACTCCAGGAGGTCGGGCATCTGTTTTTACTTTAGTCTTAGAACAGTGCCTGCTCAGTATCTGAAATAAGTAGCGAATGCCAGGTTCTAAAGGAGTTCTTTGGCTCTAACAACTCGATGCTAACGTCATCCGGTTTCTGACATCTTAAGTTCTGGGGCCTCTCTTGGTCTCAGAGCCCGCGACGTACCCCACACCCCGCTTCTGCCTGTGGACCCCCGCTCCAGACACTCACGCCCAGCCTTGGCCCAGGCCGCGGCCAGCCAGCATCACTCCCCGAATGCTGGGATCCGAGCGCAGGAAGAGCCCCACGTTGCCCAGCAGGTTAAGCAGCTGATAAGCAGCCAGCGAGAGTTGCAAGGCCCGGGCCAGGGGTCCCAGCGGGGGCGGCCCGGGCCCCAGCACCATCACGTAGGCCAGCTCCAGGACCACGGCGGCAGCCCACAGCGCGGTGAGCACCAGCGGCAGCCGTGCGGGCGCTCCCTCTGCGCCCCGAGCTGCCCAGGGCTCCCCCATGGTTCCAACCCGCCCGCGGTCGGATCCCTGGAACCACACTGCTTCCGTATTGGGGCGGGCATAGCGGCGGACAGATGCCTGCTGCGGCCAATAGGAGCTCGGCAGGGGTGCGCAGCGCGCCAGAATTACAGGGAGGGGCCACAGACGCAGAGAAGCGATTGGCTGACCGACCAGATGTTCACAATCCGGTTGGTGCTGCCGCCCAGGTGTCAAAATGAAGTCGTTGCCCAGCGTAGGGCAGGGGCCGCCCCCTGGTGTGGCTGGCTGCCACCCCGGGAGGATTGGGTTGCAGTCCCGGCGGCGTCGGGGTTTCCCGGCTCAGCACATTCTCCCTACACTCCTCTGCAGCCGCCCCGGTATTTATAGACCTGGCAGGTCCTATCCCCTGGCCCCGGGCCTTTCTCCATGCTCGGGTGTCTCCATCACCCTAGAAAACTCCCCAAACGCCTTGTTGTCTCGTTGTGACAGACTGTGAAATAGAAATAGGGGTCTATCTCTCGCGCTCAGTGATTGGAGGGGGGACAGACTCAGGTGCAAGGGGCAGTCTTTAGGATGGCCTGCACCCACCACCTAGACTCGACCTTACAGATGAGGAAACAGACAAGACCCACGGCTGTCCCAAGATCACACAGCAAGCTGACCGCAGAGCTGAAATGCGAACCCGCTGTCTAGGCCAGTAGTGACCCCAGCATTCCCCGCGATTCCGCAATCTTTGACTCTAGCACAATTTCTGGTTCTGACCCAAGCTCCCTCGCCCCCTATCTGGCCCCACCCACCTCCCCCATATTTAGTACGAATCCGATCTGCGGCTGGCCGGGCCCTACTTAACCCAGCTGAGCGGTCAAGCGCTTGCCCAGCGGAGCGGAGCACAGCCAAGAGCCTAAGCGAGATGATGATGGTCATGCAGCCCGAGGGTCTGGGGGCCGGGGAGGGGCCCTTCTCGGGCGGCGGGGGCGGCGAGTACATGGAACAGGAGGAGGACTGGGACCGTGACTTGCTGTTGGACCCGGCCTGGGAGAAACAGCAGCGGAAAGTGAGTGCTCACCCATTTCCCAAAGGCAAAACTGAGGCTGAGAGGCCAGGTAGTTCTTCCTCGGTATGTGGGTAGTTCAAGGGCAGGGCCTCCTCCCTGTTATCTAGATTGCTACTCCCCAACCTGGGCTCTGTCCACCAGCTATCTGCTGTCCTCAAGGACTAGAAGAAAGGCTGGGAGTCCTCATGAAGGATTTAGGTTGTCAAGGAGTTCCTGGAGTCCCCAGTGACACCCCCTCCCCCAACTCCTTTGAGCCCACTGCCCCACTTCTGCATGTGAAAGTAGATTTTGGACAAGGTCCAGGAGACCAGCTTGTTCTTGGGTGGGAGATGAGGGGTTCCCAGGAAATCATGTTCCTCTGTGGTTAGCTAACTGTGTGATCTTGGGACAGCCGCGAACACTGTTTTCTCATCTATATGGTGGAGTCCAGGTGGTGGCTGCAGGCCATCCTAGAGGCTGCACACCCACCCTCCTCTCCAAGTTATCCCCAGATGCCATCCTGAGGAGAACATGCCAGGCAGTGGATTTGGGGAAACAGGGGAGAAGAACTATCTCACACTCTTTCCCTGTATTTTGCTCAGGATGGTGTCCATAGTCCCTCTACAGGCTTGACAAGTGAGGAAACTGAGGCCCAGGAAAGGGCAGAGAGAGGCAGCCTATTATATACTGTGAGGAAAAATAAAGAAGAATGCCCCATGTGGGGCTCTTTGTCCCTTGCCCCTACCCACTCTTTCCCAAGATACCCCTCCCTGTCTTAGAAGCCCTGAGTCTGCTAAAAGGCCAGAAGGTCGGGAGGAGAGGAGTTCCGGGTCCCCTTACCAGTAACTTAATCCAGGGGCCCAGATGGACACTTGTGCTGAGGCAGCGCCTTTGGGGGAGCTCAAGAGGGCCATGTGGGCAGCTGTTGCCCAGGCCCAGCCTTGTAGGGCACTCTCCCCTCCCTCCCCGAAACTATTTTCACTCCTAGCTCCCTGGTGGAGGGAGCAGGGTACCTGGGTTCCCCAAAAAGAAAATGATTCCATCCAAATTGAGGAAAGTTTGAAGATCTGCAGGCCAGGCATAGGGAGGGCACTATATCTTCATTGTGCTTGCCTTTTGCCAGCTGTGCGTGATTCCAGGAAAGTAGTAGAATTTGCAGGAACCGAGAACCCCAGAATTTAGAACCAGAGCATTTCCTCTGTGTTAGAAGACAGGAGTTGAGTGCAGGGGTGAGGAGCCTGAGCTGACTGGGCTGAGGTCTGGGATGATCCACCCTACTGCTACCCCCCCCCCCCCCCACTCCCCTGCACCTGTCTCCAAGCATGGCTGTGGTCCCTGAGTTCGGCAATCCCTGGGTGATGTCATCCCTGCCCCTGGCTCCAGCTGCCATTTGCTCCTTGTCTCCCCCCCCCCGTACCCCGCCTCAGCCAGCCAGCCTTCTCCAAGATCCAAGTTTGTCCCTACCATGACATCTGCCTGTCTCTTTCTTGCCTTTGCCACTTAAAATATCAGAACGGTCCTTTCACTCCAATTTATAGCCACCATGTCCATCAACAACCCATGTCACCCGTTAATCCATTAACAGAACAGGCTCTGCCCTATAAATGGACATTTGAGTTATTTCTTCCCCATTCCCCATTGCTTATCACATTCTTTTGGTCAGGTGCTGCTCTGCCCCGTCCATCGTTGCTCCTGCATTCTTTTTCGATGGGTGCTTCTTGCTCACCAATGACTCCAATATCCAGGGTTTCCAGCTTTGGAGCTCTCCTTTTCTCTCCTGATACCTGAGTCCCCTTCAGCTGATCATATTCAAAAATAATTGGTTCACAGAATTTTTTTTTTTTTTGGCCATTTTTTAAGGTTTCATGTAGCCCACACTGGTCTTGAATTTCCATGTAACCAAGGATGACCTTGAACTTCTGATCCTCAGCCTCCTCTTTTTAAATGTTTTATGGGTTTATTCATTTTATTTTATGTGTGTTTTGCTTGCATAAGTGTACATGCATTATATCCATGTTTGATGCCTGAGATCAGAATTGGGGATCAGATTCCCTGGACCTGGAGTGGTAATGAGCCACCAAATGGATGCCTGGAATCGAACCCAGGTCTTCTGCAAAAGCAACAAATTCTCTTAGTCACCGAATGATCTTTCCAGCCCTTCCTCCACTTTCTAAATTGGGATTTGCAGGCATGCACTATTGTATTAACTTTTAAGTGATGGTAGGAGTCAAACCCAGGGCTTCCTGTGTGCTAGGCAAGCACTCTACCAAGTAAGCTACAGCCCAGATATTCCATAAATATATATTTTTTAAATTTTTCTTTAAAGATTGGTTTGAATTTATGTGTGTGTATGTGGAGACCACAAGAGGACGTCAGATCTCTGGAGTTGGAGTTACAGTCAGTTAAAAGCCTCCTGACACGGGTGCTGGGAATCCAATCTAGGTTCTTTGGAAGACCAGCCAGTAGTCTTAACCACAAGGCCATAAGAATATCTGGAATTGGGAGGGGAGGAGGAAGGGGCTTATGGGGGGGATACAAAGTGAATAAAGTGTAAAAAAATAAAATAATAATAAAAAAAAGAATATCTGGAATCAAAATGAAACAAAATACAACCCCTGCCTCCTCATACCTACTCCCATCTCTCACTATGCCTTGTATCCATTTCCACCTCCTCATTTTCCCCTGCTCTGCAACCAGAGTGAGTTTTTAAATGTATAGATCTGGGCTACATTTGGGAGACAAATGCAGGCGGACTTCTGTCTGTTGGCATGTTCCACATAGTGAGTTCCAGGATAGCCAGGGCTGCATAAAGAGGCCTGTCCCAAAGATAATTAAGTTCTGATGCCTCCCTCTTGCCTGAAGCTTTGCCAACTCTCTGTAGCTCTCAGGATCAAGTTCAAACTCCCTGGCTTAGCAGCCAGGATCATGCATGACCTGGCCCCTGCCACCCCTCCGGTCTGTCTCTCACCACTGATACCCCAACACCCCCAGCTTCGTTCCAGCAGTACCACGGTGCCATCCCACAAACAGAACAACTGTTCCTTATTACACATTTCCCCTCGTGTCTGCCCCTGCCTGGCATGCCCTTGCCTGCCCTTCCCGGGCCCGTACATCACAGCTCTTCCATCACAGCTCTGATCCAATGTGAGCCTCTTATCAAGAAGCCCCCACCTAGTTTAGACAGTCTCCCTCCACCCCACATTCCTCTGCATGTTCCTGCCAGTAAGCCTCAGGGACAGCAGTTTCTGATTGGCTGCAAACTCCTACAGGGCAGGGCTATATCTTTCTCCCCCTCTTCCCTGCTTCCCCCACAGGCTTTCCCTGTGTAGCTCTGGCTGTCCTGGACTCACTTTGTGGACCAGGCTGGTCTTGAACTGCCTCCCTAAGTGCTGAGATCACAGGCATGCACCACTGTGCCCGGCTTCAGGGCTACATCTTATTAAAACTCATATTTTTATATGAGCTTAGTTAATAATTAGGTTATTAACATTTTCTAATCCCTTCTCCAGTGAAGCGCTGGCCACAGGTACCTACAGAGGCCCCAGCACCATTTCACTTTTCTCTGGAGAACTAAAATTTCAAGAGGGAAAGGAGCTGGAGAAGGAGACATAGCAAGCCAGGGGCTGAGCCAGGGTTTATAGTCAGGGTCTTGGGTCCTAAGACCTATCCCAATGGAGGAGCTACGTCTGTGTGCTCTGGGCTCAGCTTTCCCCATGCCTAGATCCAGTCCTGTAGTCCAATCACTGTCTTCTGTCCCCAGACCTTCACTGCTTGGTGCAACTCACATCTGCGCAAGGCAGGCACTCAGATCGAGAACATTGAAGAGGACTTCCGCAACGGCCTGAAGCTCATGCTGCTCCTGGAGGTCATTTCTGGTGAGGGTGCACATCTGTGGTCAGGGAAGTCTGGAGACCTGTGGGAATGGTGGCAGCAGAGAGCTGGAAAGGACTTGTATTGGGGAAGGGAGAGATTGAAAACAGCATTTTTTAATTAATTAATTTTATTTTATTTTATTTTATT